CTATATTCGCAACTTCGGCATTTCCAAGAAACCTTGAAAGGTGTTTAAGGTGATTGTCTACCACAGGTACATCAGAGGCTGCATGGCATTGAGCCTTGTGCCACTCTCAAGCCTCGACGATGCGTGGTTGGAGGTGGAAGCGGAATCCCCAGGCACGAACCACGAAGCTTATCAGAAGCTCACTCAATTCAAGGATTATTTCATAAAAACCTGGTTGGAAAACGATCCCGTTTTCCCACGGGGGCTCTGGAACCACTTCGGGTAACCTTTCCATCCTCTTCGATAGCTGCTGAATTGATCTTGAGACGCAGGATAATCCCGAGTTGTGAAGAAGGATGGTCTGAGTAGTGAGTCTGATTATCCCTTTCTGCCTTGATCATTAGGAACGTTGGTGCACGGACCACTAACCACCTCGAAGGATGGCATAATGGCCTCAATCAGAAGCTCAAAGCTGCTCATGTGAGCATTTATGAACTCATCACCCATCTCAAAAAAGAAGAAAATGATCTCAGGCTCCAGAGGTTGCTCCTGGATGCAGGGAATCCTCCTAGGCCTATGAGGAAGAAATATAAGACTCTAAATGATCGCTTAGCTCGGCTAATGCAGCAGCTGGATACGAATGAGATCACTCTGGGGGAATACATTTTCAGAGCAGCATACAATCTGCCAGAGGCATGCTCTACCTGAACAGAACCTTTATAAATCCTTCAAACAATAAATGCAAGAACTCCTCAAGATACAAATAACTATCCCGTCTGATTCATGAGTGCGCCGAGCCATCCCCCAATGACAAAACCGCTGAGACGATGATCAGCACATGTTTTCCGCCGGAATTCTTTCTCCGGAATGGCCTCGGAGCTATATTGGCTGCCTGTTTTGCGATGATATTTCAGCGGACTCTGGATGGAACATAGAAGCTTACTCGGCAGGCAACGAGCTGAGAAAAGAGGGGGGAAATTTTCGGCCCTACGGGTTTTCGGCCCCATTAGCGTTCGACTATCTGATTTTTCGGCCCGACAGGATTTCGGCCCTTCGCGTTTTCGGCCCTACGGGAGTCATCCCGCGGGTCCTGGGGGAGTTCCGGCGAAAACCGGTCACAGAATCGGGCAAGAAGGGAATCTCGTCGCCATCCGGGAAAGCAGGATTCTTCCGAGGAATTCCTAGCGCCCTGCGCGAAGATCTACCCCCGAGTGCAAGCTGGACGGAGTCTTCGTCCTTAATATATATGATCTCGGGCATTGAACAGGGATTCGACTCCTGTCATAGCGGCGGCTACAGCTGCAGAATCCGATATTCAATCATTCGAGCTCCGATACCAGCTCAGGACCTTTCACAAGAATTTCGGCTGATGCTCCCCCGTCTACCTTGAGAATGACAAGCGTAACATCATCGTGGTAATGCTCGTGGACGTAATCTCACCGCTCTCGCCTTGCCGCCTTGCGTCTTTTTACCTCCTCTATCGAGAGCAATTCTTACCGGCATTCTGAGAACGTGACATTTCTTCCAACAGTGCATATTCTCCGCGGGTCCCTTCACCGAACATTTCCCACAATCAGACTATCCAACCTCTTAACATGGAGGATAAAATTCAGGCTTAGACCGGATATTCCGCGGTTTCGAACGGGAAACCGGACAGACCGGACGCGGACGGAACAGGGCGTCTCCTGTCGAATCGAAGCTGGCACCGATCAATGGCGGAAAGCCGCGGGAGGGATACAATTGATTTGTTGCGAGCGCTGGAAGGCGAGAGTTCTCTAGCTCGAGTTTCGGGAGCATCGGAATTTCCGGTCACGGACGCTCTTTCAATAATTTTTCAATTCTCGGATTTTCGAGCCGACCATTTCCGATCCAACTCACTCAGTAGGGCTCGGCTATCGAGAAACCTCACGGCGGCCGAGCAGTGGAGAGATGTTCGCGGCTTCTGACGCTCTCCTTAATATCTAGGCGTGAATTTTCTTGATAAATCGAAGATATCTGCCTGGGTCTTCGTTTCGGCTCGATTTCAGCCCGAGGCATCACCTGAGCTGGACCTGACCATTCCGGCAGTGAGTCGGACGAGACTTCTTCCTCGTCAGGACTCATTCTCTCCAATACCCGACTCGCTCATCTATGTGCTACATTCCGAACTTCAGGCTTCGAATTCAATGATCATATCATAAAGTAACGTCGCCGCGATAACATCTGGCGTATCCTGGCGTATCGAAGGCTATGCATCTCATTATATATCTTGAGCTGCATGACCGGCATCCGAGCTAGGCAACGAGAGTTGATTGCCCATGACCCATGTAGAAATTCGCGTCTTCGCAACTTACCTCAGGCGCTTAGCTATATCTAATGTGACGGAGCAATGGATGTCTCCGATAAACTTCCCATTCTTTAATACTAGAGAGAAACTCAACCCTCGAGAGCGAGTCGCAGGGACTTGAGAAGTAAAGCGGAACTGATCGCTGCTTCAGGTGAGAAATTCTTTTGCAGTCTGAAACTTAATTCGCTGACTTCTTTCCTCGGATAATTATAGCCCCTGATCGAGGCGAGTTGAGTAACGAAGTTAGGCCACGCGGATTTGCATGAGATCGTGAAAATCGACCCATAAATCTGATGGATGCTATCGGACAAGGTCTATTTCAGCAGTGGGCCAAACCCGGATTGCTCTCTCTGGTCGCAACTTGTCTACCTGTTTCCTGCTGGCGAACTTGCGGGGTAAGTGCTTGTGTGTCTGAATTTCATTACCATCAGCAGAGTGCCAGAAAGGAACTCTCTAGATCCTTCCTCGATTGATACGTTGCTCGTTCATTCCAGAGGGGCGGGGCTGCATCTAATGCCTACGGAACCTACTTGAAAGCTAGGCAATACCAAAGTTTCATCGATGAGGGAATCAAAGACGGGGATTACACGAAGACCCTGGCGAAACTCTTCGGCTCAGACAAATACGAGGATACGTATTACTTCTACAAGCAGAGATGGATGAACGGCGAGGGAAATCATTCTGGCAACTCGAGTCCTCGCCCCGGCGGACATTCATGTGATTCGGATCCTCGCATCAAGAAAGGTATCAAATCGGTTCCTGAATTGGACGAATCGATGCTACAGAAGATGATTAGAGGGAAATCGAAGAAAGAGATCGATACGATCGGTAAGAAAATAGACGGCGCGATCAAGGAGCAGGGCGGCGATTTGAACGTCGTCAAGATCGACGTCGAGAGTAAGAAAAAGAAAGCGAGGTCGGGTCCGAGGAAAGTCAAGACCAAATCCGGTTCTAATGGCCAACAGCATCTCAATTCGAAAGACTCTGGAAACTCGCCAGGTGCTGGCGTCAAGGATATGTTCCTCAACAAAATCAAATCGAACGTAGCGAATGTCTTGATCGAGCGAGCCAAGTTCAGGATCTGAACCGTGACGTCAGCGAGTAGACCGAAAATATTTTCCTGGAGGAGAGGCAGCATTCCGACTTTCCCCCTCCCCCACCAGCTGTTCGCATTGTCTCCCCGAGTCCAAGATGTGCTGGACAGTTCCCCACGAGAGAAGAACTGATCGGAGTTTCTCAAATTGACTCATGTATATTCATGTTCCTCGTCGCTCAACGCCTGGGCGTCGATCATCCGAAGATGGTTGTGGTTCAGGGAGCTCTAGCCGGCCCGAAAAGCGGCCCGTATAATTCTTTTCTCCCTCACCACAATCTAGGTATTTATGCTCGGAGCGTCGGCCCGCATGGAGGCATGTGATCGATGGCATAATATTGCAATCAGAAATGTTCTCTCGTAGCCATGAGAAGGAGCAATTTTCTTTATTCGAGCGGGAGTTTGACCTCGTTCGAGCCGACGGTACAAAATCTGAGTGGCCCATGGGCATAACGGGGCTTGATGCCTTCTGAATTTTGGAGTCGCGGGAGGAAAACTAGAACTCACATGATAGTTTACCAAGGGCGTCCTCTCTCGCAGCTTGTCTGAAAATTTCCGACAGACTGGTGTCCAGATCGAATTCAATTATTGGAGGAGCTCCTTCCCGGCGGATGAATTTCAGAGGCAGACTCGGTACGCCGGGGCTTATTCCGCCGTCATACTCGGCCGGATATTTGTAATTCTTGTCCGATGAAATGATTTCGAAGTTCTGCAGAATTTTCGCGAAATAGATGTGGAGCGTCATCTTCGTGATCTCTTGACCGGGGCACTTCCGTCGACCGCGGGAGAACAAAGCCATATCTGGGTCATCCGCGAAGCAGCCGTTCTTGTCGACGAACCTCTCTGGGTCGAAAACATATGGCTCCGGGAAGTGCTTCGCGCTGAAGGTCTCGGAATGGAAGCACAATATGGTGCTCATGTTGGCTGGCACCTCGTATTCGCCGAGCTTCGTATCGGCCGAAGTGTGTCTCGCGATTCCGATCACCGGGAGGCTGATCCTGAGAGACTCGTTGCAGAATGCTTTTAGGTAGTGAAGATCATCCAAATGATCCGCCGAGAGCTCGTCTTTCCCGACAACTCTGAGCACTTCATCTGCCAACCTTTTTTGTAATTGAGGATGTATGGCGGCAAGCGTCAGCGCGTTCACCACGCAATGGACCATCGGCAATAGTTGAGCGATCATGTTGAAGAAAACGTTCATTCGGATGAATTCGTAAGTCTCATCGGGGGTTTTGGTTCGCATTATTGCTTCGACGTAGTTCGTTGGCTCCACCTGATCCATGTTCGTTGAATACACGACTCTCCTCCAGAACTCTCTGTAGACTCTGTTCATCGCCATCGATTTGAGCCAGAAGTTCGTATGACGCTCGACGAATTTCAACACGCTGATTGGAACCACAAGAGTGATTGCAGCAAACCAAACGGAAGCTCGATTGATGTCCAGTAGGGTGTCCAACATGGTTTTTACGCTGTTGCTCTCGAAAACTCGGCCCAGATTGAGATTGCAGGCCGTCTGACACAGCGAGAACATCATATCTCTCTCGTATTCCCAGACGCGGCCGCCTTCCCCTTCGCAGCGCTTGAGGAAGATGCTCACGCTCTCGGAGATTCTTGAGAACTTCTGAGCTTTTGGCAGGAAATAGAGGGCTTGCAGATTCATTTTCCTGTTACCCCGCCAGTTGAGCCATTCTCGCCCCCCGTCGAAAAACACAAACCCGCGTTTTCCGCTCACCACGAGCCCCGCATAATCCGTGAAGGCGAAAGATGATCGATTCAGACAGAATTCGTTCTTCTGGACTTCGGCGATGTAGGGTTCTTTCACAATGAGGCTCGGATACAGTACCCGAGCTATCATCAGGTTCGGCATTTTATCGAGGAAGAATCTGTAAGCTCGGCGGAATAAAGGTTTTGGTAGGATGAAGAAAGGTAAGAAGCCAATGAAGGGGAGTCCGTACCAGACTGGCGGTCCATTCGGTCTTGTGTATCTCAATTTGAAGTAAATGTAATCGAGAAGAACAAGAATGCCGAAGACGAGGAGGAGACCCATGGAGGGAACTGTCACTGAAAGGAGGGTAAACACTTATTGGAATCGAGTAGAGCATCCATTCTAGAGGGAGCTCGACTCATCAGGGTCCATCATGTCAGCGCCCCTACAGGGAGCGTCGGAGGATCCCGACGTGACGCCCGGCGTGAGATTCGTCATGAAATCAATGATTCTTCTATATGTATATCTACACTACGATCCTTTTCTTAACCAAAACCAGACTTCCCGCTATTCCTTTCATTCGCGATCACCATTTCGGTCTCGAGATACGGAAGTCGACCCTCTTCCTCAAGGATGCCAATGCGATACTGGCCTCGAGGAACCAAGGAGCGCTGAATGCTCACTTCGAGGAGACGCAGATATCTGCGGATCGATGGGCTCTGGGCATTCCTGGATACAAGATAGCCGAGGAGTTCATCCAAGGAGAAATAGGCTGGTCATCATTCGAGGCGAGAGAAGCTCAGAGCAGGATCCGATGTTTCACTAGGATAAGTTCAATGGAGGCACATAGATGGCCGAGAGCGATCCTGTCAATGATGGCACTGACCGACACATACACCGAGGCAGTCAAACGTTTGAAGATCCTACGTAGAAAATACCTTGATGGGGAAATACCCGTGGTATACACTAACGAAGGACGTACACTTCTAAGTAAATTTTACAAGGAAGTGAAACTAAAAGTCCGGGGAACAAGGTATGGAGAGGAGGGATGTCCCGGAAACCAAGCCCTCAGATATACAATATGTATAAAGGGAGACGAGGACTGACCGCGGTCGGCACGTATATCAATAGAAGAGGTAGTACCCTACTCGCACTAGCGAAAGTAGGGATGCTACCGACTCGAAAATACCGCAGTAAATTCCAGAACATCCACCCATACTGCTGTTGGTGTGGGATGGAGGAGGAGACTATCTAGCACGTGCTATCAGAATGCACCCCACATCACTTCAATGAAGAGGAACTCCGTAAGAAACTGGGACTCCAAGAGCTCCTGGACCGTGGAGTGCTGCGAAATACTAAAGAACTACTAGAGCGATGGGAGAAGGAGACCCGGCCGATCTGCTGAAAAATCGCCTCTGAGGTGAAAGGGTTATGATCCTGTGATATGGTATCGCAGGAACATATGGATCAATAAAACCATGAACCATGACGGCACCCTCCACACCTCCCTTTCCGCAACCTCTGTCACAATCCTCCATCGTTCCCATGTGAGCCCAAAATGAGGAGCGCGGCCGCGTTCCACAGGTCCGGTAAATCATTGTTCAATTCCTCGACATTCCTGCATTTCGCGTAATCCCGCGCATCTGCTCTCAAGAACGCTGTCGTCCCTCTCCCCTCAAAAGCGCCCTCGTAAGTTTGTCCATTCGTGAGAAGTCCAAACGTCGAGAACTCGCGAACGGACAGACGGACACAGCGCTTTTATCATTTAGGGGTATAGAATTTTTCGCATGAATCACCGAATCATCATTGACCTTAAGCAAATCAACCCCCTCATCGAATAGGGATGTCTTGTCCGAAACACGTTTCGTCATCCGACTGTGCGATTCAAGGAGGGACTGACTTGTACGTTTCTCGAATAATCCACGGCTGAGGCGATGGGGAGTCTGTTTCCCCCGGAAATAGTCCGATGAAATTTTCGTGTGCAGGGTAGGGCGGCTGAGAGAGCTTCGTTTCGGATATTCGCGTTCCTGAATTTCATCTCCAGTGTACGGAGCCTTGTTTCGGCAGGAAAAGCGCTCGTTAACTCGTTTTGATCATTCTCTGCGACCCCGGCGAAGCAATGACCAATGCGCGTGGCCGTAATTGTCTCATCGGGATCGTCAGCCAATCCAAATTCAGGCGCACTCGTCATTCCGTCCTCGGGTCGCGTCGTTCACCTCTCTGTGCTGGCTCATTATAAAGTGAAAACTTTGGAAACCGCTATAGCGACCCTCTTCCCATTTGCTCTAAAAATACCTCATTATTATTTAAGGCAATCGGACGCTCCCGTATTTTGCTCGAGCGTAGCCACCGCCGGAAAATCACGCTCACTCAACGATGAGTCCTGGGGGCTTATCAAGGGCCCCGCGTGGACGAATCTAGAACTCCCTTTGGAGCGAATCATGGGAGCAATCGGTCTAAGACTTCGATGAAACTTTTGGGCTCATTCAGGATGGAATCCATGGGAATCGATTTGCTCCGAAGGTGGCCTGGACCCTCGCCGATGACGGCACGCGGTGTCTATTGAATAAAAGGAAAGGAGATGTCGACCCACGACGTGACACTCGACAGCGAGAGCAGGCGTATCTATCCATACCTCCATTGGAAATTGGAGTCCGAACGAATGAAATTCCCGTTCACTTCCTGGAGGTGCACAGAAGATGGCGGGAATCGCGTTCAATAGCGTAGCAAGGAGCGAGATGTACGAGAAGACGCAGTAGTGGACGGCAGAATCTTTTCGGCTGACGCATGTGCCTTATTCTCGAGAGAAATCAACAGTTCCCTCCCACGGAAGCGAGCTATGTGCTCGAGCCCTGGCTCGCTGCGTGTCCGCCTCAAAGGTACAAGAGACTTCAGGTTGTGGCAGAAATGGGGAGTCGAACAAAGACACTCGAGAGCATAAGCGAGACCTCTTCAGTCATGGAGTGCACACTGTGAAGGGGGCTCCAAGAGTTTCAAATGCTGGTTTTGTCATCCTATAGAATCAATAGACAATCGAGACGCACGTCCCCGAACCTGAGCAATACTTCTTTTCCAATCTGATAGATCCGAATACTAGGATATTCGCTATGGATAAAGTTCAGTTGTTCAACCCACTGATATTCGTCGGTGGGCTAGGAAAGCCATCGAGATGAACATCCAGTCGGAATGGACAGGAAGGACAGGTCCCTCGGATTTCGGCTACCGGAATAGCCGCACTTACCAATGGTACGGAGAGAAACCGAAACCGAATAGGTGGAGCCGGAACACTTATTCTGTGGCCGGGAAGAAGAATGATTTTGAATGACCAACTTGGAAACAAAATCGCAGGCGGGGGGGAGAGCGAACTGCGCTCTGACCAAGAAAGGGCGCGTCTCGCGCATTTCCTGTCGTGATTGCATTCAGGTGCGTTGGAGAGCATGAGTAGGCTAAGGATTTCCTCTCCAGCTTGAAAGACGGTGCGCTGAGGAAGCGAACAAGAGCGCCCAACCGACGATGACCAGAGGTCTCCTGAACGTCAGTGGTTCCCAAGCTTTTTTTCGTGCGCGAGCCTTACTTCACCTCAAATACCCGCGGGACCCCCCGGAGACTTGATACACGACTTGGATGGACTAGCTGTCGGAGAACACCTTCAATAATTCTGAAGCGTTGTGATTTTTATTAGCTGCTGCGTGATACGTACACCTCTTGAACTTATTCTACTTAAGAAAGACTCCCTGCGATGCGACCGATTAATCTGACATCCAGACGGAATCTCAGCGAAGTGTGGAGTCTCACCTGACAATTGCAGTCTCATGTCTGCTTCGGCATCCGAACGGTTCCGACACTTGTTCTAGGTCGCAATGTAGATAGAAAACCCCCTAGTGCTCACGAAGGGTACGGTTGAGCTGAGCGCGACCTCCGTCAAAAGCGGGAACTTTCCGGCTATGACAGCCCAGGAATTCACCACAGCAGCTGTTTGAAATAGCCATCTGAGATTCTCGCTGCTCAGGAGTCTGATCAACTGCTCATTTAGCGCCGGAGAAAATCCGCGATCTACGCCGGCCGATCAGGGGTCTTTCGAACACTTGTGGGCGACTCTGTTTCCCATGGATCCGGTCGGGAACTAAATTTCCAGGTCTTCGCGTAGCTTCATCAGATGGGCGTCGATATCCTGCTAGACGCTGCAGCTCCTCGCTGGTTCCGCAGAGGTAATCCTAGAGGGTTGGTGGGAAATCTATGCGACCCTCCTATTCAAAGTGGCCTGAAGTTCCAGTTTTCTCTTCATCGCAACGATTCTCTCGGTCGCCACGGAGATATCGACTAACCTTCCTCGCAGCGAGAGGTTGAGCTCAATAAGTCTAATCAAAACACTTCTGCAAGATAGGCCAGTTGCGTCAGCCATTCGGAGTCACGCCAACGCTCGCACAAATCGAGTGAATGATCCCGACTGAAGTCGAGAATTCCATTTCGCAGCTCGAACGGTCGATTCGAGACCCGGCGTCGCGAGAACCACTGAACTTAGGTGTGTAGAAACAGCGTCAGATGCACTTTCTTTGTTTCCTCGCGGATGCTTTCGAAGAGTCGCGACTGAAGAGGATGTGCCTTGATGTGGTTGAAGATTCCTTCAGCTGCTTTTAGCACCGTCACCAGGAATAGAGGATGTCGTCTCATCGCCAGCACTCCCCCGATGAATTATGCCATGTGTAGCGGTTGTGCTCGACGAAACTTTTCGAACTTCACCAACGAATCCTTGGTTGCTGATAACGATGGCGGCTGCTCCGTCGTACATTGATGCATTTGTCCCACGATAGACCATTTTCCGTGAGATAATCATCAATCAGCTTGGAAATTTTACCCTTGGAGGCATTGCTCACCGAGGGCTTGCAGATTGAGAGCACTTCGTAGCGTACGAGAACCAGTAGAATCGGCGAACCGCTGTCATCTGTCGATTCGTCTAGCTGCAGGGCCCAGAAGGGACTGAGCTCGATTTCCTTGCAAACTTTTCCCTCCAGCCACAAGCTTACGTCGCTGATCCGGCGATTAGGCGTGTTATCGGAGAGGGGAAGGCTCCAAAGCTTGCTTATTTGTCTCGGATTGAGGAGACCCCAGGCAGTTTTAATTATGCAAGGCTTCCCCGAACTCTCGCTAATAGTATCTGCTCCTCCAGCCCAACCGATCTGATGAGGAAGCCGCCGGGACATCTCGGGACTCGGAATTACATAATTCGAAGGAGACTCCTGGACAGCTGACCTCGTGCGATCGTGGGAGCTGCAGCGCGCAGCACGTCAATTGACGGATTGGCGAGCGCTCGGAGCATCTGTCACCGCTCGGTCCAACGTGCTTGGCCGAAACGGCG